ATTTTTCTGGAGGAAGGTATTCATCAGAGAGGGGGAGTATGTCAAGATGAAACTGGTGACTAGCTGAATCCAGGGGAGATTTGTAACGGTAGCAGGCATCTCTGGGGAGAGACTGATCCCATACACAGTATCATTTGAAAGTGAAACTGTTGAATTCTAGAAGATAAAATTTTGTTTTTTAAAGCCATTGTCCAAAAAGGGATACACAAACCTTTTGCTTTGTGATTGTTTTTCCTTATTGGAAACCCATTTAGGTAACCTGAAAATTAAACGCAATGAAAAAGTGTTTGCATTTAATTAGACACAGAAAGTGTGTGTTCAGTGGGGGAATACATGACTCTTAGGAACAGCATAAGTTGGTTTTTTTGATTACATGGAAAATTTAGACATACCAAGAAAAGCCCAGGGTCCAGAATTAAGTTATGTTAGAGGAAAACATTGCTTAATTTTTTTGACCTTAAAGTTGAAACGTTAAAATATTATGCTAATGTTTAGCATTAGGACATAATAGCAGTTAGAATTGGGAGGAAAACACGACAGGAGCTGACAAAAACTGGGGAGTGTTGTTATATTAGGCCTTTTTTAGGGGAGAAAAAACTGAAAGCAGCGGGACACAGCAAAAGTTAAACTGAGATGATTCTGAGAAGTTTTAAAAATAAACATTATAAAATGAAAAGTAAAACTTCTTGTAGTTTTGTTAAGAACAGATTAATACCTTAAGAAAACCTTGTTTTAACATATGGAGAGGCAATGTTAGAAAGACTATCCTAAATAATTCCCTTTCAGTTATAACCAACTTAATCACATAGAAAATTCCTTTCATAAATTTCCCTTCACAAACCTTCTTATGACTTACACAGACTATTTTTGACATGCTTGGACTTTACGACTTGTCCTAAGCATTCCTCTTTCTTAAACAACCAGTCATTCTATTTCAGGACAAGAATTTACTATACGAGATTTTTTTTCTCATATAAAGTATTTTTTGTTTGTTTGTTTGTTTGTTTTTAAATAACCTTCCTTTCCCAAAATACCTTTTTACCCTTATAACCTTCTTCATGTCTCTCTTATTCCCTGGTTCCTTTTACCTTGTTTTATATATAACCTTTAAGTAACCTTTGAATTAGACAAAAATTATTTTCCTTTTGTTGGGAAGTTAAGATTTGTATTTCATGTTGCTGTGTGATTTATGTGGAAGAGCAAATGAGGAGGTAGTTTACATGCTGTAGAAGTTATCCCTTCTTAAGAGATTTTTCAATTAGATTTCTTGCTAGGGCTTGTTTGAATAAATGTGGGCTATATTTTAAACACCTGAGGTAGGACTGTCTAACTTGAAGTTTCTATTTAATCCGTTTTTACACTGCTGTAAAGAAATACCTGAGACTGGGTAATTTGTAAACAAAGGAGGTTTAATTGACTCACAGTTCTGCATGGCTGGGGAGACCTCAGGAAACTTATAGTCATGGTAGAAGAGGAAGCAGACACCTTCTTCACAGGGTAGCAGGAGAGAGAAGTAAGGAGGGCAGGAAAAATTGCCATTTATGAAAACATTAGATCTCGTGAGAACTCACTATGAGAACAGCATGGTGGAAACTCCCCCATGATCTAATCACTTCCCTCACTCTACATGTGGAGATTACAGTTCTCTTCCTCAAAACATGGGGATTACAATTGGAGATGAGATTTGGGTGGGGACACAGAGCCAAACCATATCCAGTGGCCTGTCCTTCTGCATCAACAACACTTACTTGGAGAAGTGTCCTCAGTACAATCTGGAATGGGCTGGAGGCTTTTAAAGCAGCCAGCAGTTAAGCCTGTGTCTTGTCCTTGCATTTTTCTTTCTCTTTAGCTCTGTTCCCCTTAATCTGTTCTCAATTATTGAAGAAATTGAAACTATGTCCAGCAATGTTGGGAAAGTAGTTTGTGGTCTCTAATCTAGCTTTTGGACTTCATATCTAATGTGTAGGGATACCTGGCTGATAAACAGCTATGACACTGAGGCCTTCTGGGCTCTGGGGGTTCATACTAGTATATTTTCTCATAGCCTCAGCCAGCTTGGAATACAATAGGGCTAGATTTTCATTTGACCCCTCTCTTATTTCCCTTAGTTTGGCATAATTTACAGGTTTTATATGGCCTTTTTAATGCCCTGAATCAGGCAAGTGATCATGTGATTATGACATTTCCTGCTGTGGTCTCCCTCTTGATAACCCCGCCTAGGATCAGCGTCAGGCACTGCAGTTCTCCCAGGGCCAGACTCCTGGGGATTTGGGGTATGCACTTCATCTGCCCACCTGTGAGCCAGAGACCATATGTGGGATTTTTCCTCATGGGTGCAACAAGTGGTAAAAATAATATACATGTCCTACCAAGCGAGGTAGATAAAGCAGTAGTCTTTTAAATTCCTTCATGAAATGAGGAGGGCCCCTACTGAAAGAGCCAAAGCTTAGTTTTTATTTGGGAAAGATCAGACTTTAGGAAGGGAGCATGGACTCTCATGGTTCCTAGATCCCCATTTGCCACGTCCTGGAGCAGCAGAACTTTTTCTGAGGCCAAAATAAGATCTCATAGGTGACCTCTGACCTAGTATGAGAAGGGGAGAAGAATCCCTGATAAGGAGGAGGAAATCAACATCAAAGGTTGGGATGTTGAGGGGAAGGTGAGAGAGAGGGAGCAGATGGAGTAGGTGTAATTGAACATGAAGGTAGTTTGTTACGGGAAGAAGGTGTGGCCTCAACCCATCGAGCTAGCTGGGAAGAACGGGAGAGAGTAAAAGAAAGGCCATCCAAAATGTCAAAAGAGCCAGTGGGGCCAGAGAATATAGTCAGCACATTCAGCAGGTTTGGTGGAGATTTGGATCCCGAGAGTGAGTTACGAAAGCCTGGACATAGGAACTTCAGATCACTTAGAAGAGTTGCAACAGAAAAGGGCAAGCTGTAAAATAGTATTGGGGCAAGGGTCCCACCTTGTGGCCAGGAGGATTCCTGATCTGAAAGTTTGTAATGTGGCCATGTTGTATTGCCCAAGAAAATTAAACTTTCTTGTTGAGAGTGTGAGGGTCAGATTTATCCAGTATTTTAGGATGCTACCCAGAGATGAGTCTGAAGGAATAGATGGGGTTTGTCCCATGGTGGGACTGGAAAACAAGCTATTTGGGGCTAATAAAATAATAGTACCTACCTCATAGAAATGTTGTGAAGACTAAGATAATAAAAAGAAATCGTTTAGAACAGTGCATAGTTTATAATAAACACTTAGTCAATGTTAATTATAGTAATTATTATCACCCCTTTATCAAACTTTCAAATCAGGTCTTCAACAAGCTGGTCACAAGACAGGAGATCTAAGACGTGAATCTAGGCTGTCTGGGTTCTTGTATAACTGGATAACAACTCATCAGATCAAGGTATTGATCTGAAAACATGGAGTGCTACTAGTTTTAGATTAAAGATGTATATTGTGAGCTTTTTTCCTCCTACTTCCTATTACTCTGTTTGCTGGGCTAATGTAGAACAAACTTGAATAAACAAATTGCAAATATTCAAGGGAACTTGAATATATCATCTAGATGGACAGCTTGTTTTCTTTGAAGACAGATGCAAATGGTCGTGTTTTTTAAATTGTATACACAAAAGCTGTAAAATTATATACTAGTTTAAATTAGTCTTGTTTAATTAGCCATTATCTGACCAATGTTACAACTCCCATCTTTTTTTTCCTTAACATCTATTTTTTGTTTGTTTTTTAAAGACTGCTTTTTTTTTTTTTTTTCTCCAGAGCAGTGCTGTTTCTTGAGTTTTCAGCTCTAGCTGGTAGTATAACCTTAGGTGGGATAGGTTCATAGCAGGTGTTTGCTGAGTAAGTAATATACAAAGAGTCATATTTTCTGCTGTGCTAGAAACTGTCTTCAAGAGAGTATGCTTTCATTAAATACAATAAAATTTCACAGTGCACTCCAAGGAACTGCTCTGTGTTGTGATGGTGGGTGGGTGTGAGATGGGACAGGGGAGGACGGGATAAAATGTGATTGAGAATACTCTCTCAGACATGAAACTAAGTATAAGAAGATAATAGAATTGATTTTGTTTGTTTGTTTTTGTTGTTGTTTTGTTTGAAAGGTCCTATTCTCCTTAAAATCAAAATTTGATAGTATACTGGGCTGGCCAAGCCTGAATGCCTGCCATGGCAAAACCTCCATTTAAGGGAAACTATCTTGCCCTTAGCCCTTGCTATAAGGGTAGTCCCTTTTTGTATTTAGCTATAACCCCTGGCTATGGCTGAGTAGACCCTGGAAAACTGAATCAAAGAATAGTGAATTGTGGCCTGGTACAAAAAGATGAACTGGCCTAACCACAATTTTCCCTGGAAAATTAAAAACTGTAAAATGTAGAGAGATGGAGGCAGTTAACAATGGGGGCAAAAATTGAAACAATGTGTTAGAAAATGTAGTGAGATAAACAGGATAAGATGTGGTACCCTGTATTATAGGGGAGCAAAAATATGAGAAATCAGAAAAAGTCATTTAATAGTGAAATGGAAAGAATCAGATATTTGGCATTAAGCTGTGTAATTAATAAGGAACACAAAGGAAGATTGACTGCCTGTTTCATTGATTCATTTGTTTATTCAACAAATCATTTTTTTAGTTACTACTGTGTACCAGGCAGTGTTTTAGCCCAAGAGTATTGCTCTGAGAAAGAAGCCAGTGATTTTCAACCACTTGTGATTTTGCCTACCAGAGGATATTTGGCCATGTCTAGAGACATTTTGGTTGTCAAAACTGGGAAAGGGAGGTGGTATTGGTTTTTAGTGAGTAGAAGCCAGGGATGCTGCAAACTATTCTACAATGCACAGGATAACTCCCTACAAAAAAGAGAATCATCTTGCTCAAAATGTCAGTAGTTCTCAGGTTTAGAAACTCTGGGATAAACTATCATTAGGATATATTTCATGGAATAATTGTTATCTTGTAGTTGACATTTGACTTTCTGTGTTTTCAGAATTAAGGAAGTTCACTGGAGTAAAATGGAGGCCTCAGTAATATTACCCATTCTGAAGAAAAAACTGGCCTTCCTTTCAGGTATGTTTTCTTCTTAAAATTTGAAGTGTTTGATATACAAACTGTTTAATAGTTTTTTTGTTTGATGATTATGACAAATGCATTTTATGTTTTTATGAAAGTTTTGTTTAAAAGATATTTCTGAGACATCTTTAAATCAGAGTGAAGAGCTAGGAGAGCTAACTCTGTACTGGTTCTTGGCAGGCCAATTTATTTTTCTAATTTCAACTTTTATTTTAGATTCTGGGGGTACATGTGCCTGTCTGTTGCATGGGTATATTACATGATACTAAGGTTTGGGGTACAGTTGATTCCCCTCACCCAGGTAGTGACCATAATACCCAGTAGGTAGTTTTTCAGCCCTTTTCCCCTTCTCTCCCTCCCCCGCAGTAGTCTCCAGTGTCTGTTGCTCCCATCTTTAGGTCCATGTGTGCCCAGTGTTTCACTCCTTCTTACAAATGAGAACATGGAGTATTTGGTTTTCTGTTTCTGTGTCAATATTCACTTAGGATGATGGCCTCTGGCTGCATCCATGTTGCAGCAAAGGGCATGATTTCCCTGTTTTTTTTTTTTTTTACGGCTGCATAGTACTCTATGATGTATATGTACCATGTTTTCTTTATCCATTACACTGTTGATGGGCACCTAAGTTGATTCCGTAGCTCTGCTATTATAAATAGTTCTGCAAGGAACATATGAATGCATGTGTCTTTTTGATAGAGCAATTTATTTTCCGTTGGATATATACACAGTAACGGGATTGCTGGATTGAATGATAGCAATCCCATTACTGGGTATATACCCAAAGGAAAATACATTGTTTTATAGATTTCTCTGTTTTAAGTTCTCTGAGAAGTCTCCAGACTGCTTTCTCCAGTTACTGAACTAATTTACATGACCACCAACAGTGTATATGCATTTCCTTTTGTCTGCAGCCTCACCAGCCTCTATTATTTTTTTGACTTTTTAATAATAGACATTCTGACTAGTATGAGATATTTCATTGTCAATTTGATTGCATTCCTGTGATTATTTGTGATGTGCATGCTTGTTGGCCACTTGTATGTCTTCTTTTGAGAAATGTCTGTTCATGTCCTTTGCCCACTTTTTAATGGGGTTATTTGTTTTTTCCTTGTTGAATTGATTAAGTTCATTATGGATTCTTGGTATTAGGCCTTTGTTGGAGGCATAGTTTGTGAATATTTTCTCCCATTTTGTAGGTTGTCTGTTTACTCTATTGATAGTTTCTTTTGCTGTGCAGAAGCTCTTTACGTCCTGCTTTTCAATTTTTGTGTTGCAGTTACTTTTGAGGACTTAGTCATAATTTTTTTTCCAAGGCCGGTATCCAGAATTGTAATTCCTAGGTTTTCTTCTAGGATTTTTATAGTTTTAGGTCTTAGGTTTAAGTCTTTAATTCATTTTGAGTTAATTTTTGTATATGGTGAAAGGTATGGTTCAGTTTCATTCTTCTGCACATGGCTAGCAAGTTATCCCAGTACTATTTATTAAAACGACAGTTGTTTCCCCATTGCATGTTTTGTTGAAGATCAGAAGGCTGTAGGTGTGTGAATTTATCTCTGGATTCTCTGTTCTGTTCCATTGGTCCATGTGTCTGTTTCTATACCAGTACCATGCTGTTTTGTTTACTGCAGCCTTGTAGTGTAGCTTGAAGACAGGTAATGTAATACCTCTGGCTTTTTTCTTTTTGCTTAGAATTGCTGTGGCTAGTTGGGCTCTTTTTTGTTTCCATGTGAACTTTAGTTTTTTTCTATTCTGTGAAAATTGACATTGGTAGTTTGATACGAATAGCATTGAATTTGTAGATTGCTTTGGGCTGTATGGCCATTTTAACATTTTAAATATGATGATGGAATGTTTTTCCATTACTTTATGTCTTCTGTTCTTTCAGCAGTGTTTTATAGCTCTCCTTGTAGATATATTTCACCTCCTTGCTTAGGTGTAGTTTTAAGTATTTTTTGTGGATGTTATAAGTGGGAATATGTTCTTTATTTGGCTCTCAGTTTGAGTGTCATTGGTGTTTGGAAATGCAACTTATTTTTGTATATTGATTTTTTTACCCTGAAATTTTACTAATGTAATTTATCAGTTCTAGAAGCCTTTTGGTGGAGGCTGTAGAGTTGTCTAGGTATAGAAACATAAAGTCAGCAAAGAGCAATAATTTGACTCCTTTTCTATTTCTGTGCCTTTTCTTTTTCTTGCCTGATGATTCTTGCTAGGACTTTTAGTACTATGTTGAATGCAAGTGGTGAGAGTAGCTATCCTTGTTTTGTTTCAGTTCTTAAGGGGAATACTTTTGGCGTTTGCCTGTTCAGCATGATGTTGACTGTGGGTTTGTCTATAGATAGCTTTTATTATTTTGAGATGTATTTCTTCAATGCATAGTTTATTGAGGGTCTTTATCATGATAGGATATTGGATTTTATTGAAGGCTTTTTCTGCATCTATTGAGATGATCATATGGTTTTTAATTCTGTTTATTTGTTAAATCACATTTATTGATTTGTGCATGTTGAACTGATCTTGCATCCCAGGAATAAAACCTATTTGAATGTGGAGGATTATTTGGCTGTGAATCCATCTAGTCCAGGGCTTTTTTTTGTTGGTAGATTTTTAAATTACCAGTTCAATTTCAGAACTAAATATTGGGCTGTTGAGGGCTTCAGTTTCTTTATGATTCAACCTTGGGAGGGTCTGTGTTTCTAGGAATTTATCCATTTCTCTAGAGTTTCTAGTTAGTGTGCACAGAAGTCTTTTGTATTTCTGTGGGATCAATTGTAATGTCACCTTTGTCATTTCTAATTGTCCTTATTTGGATCTCCTCTCTTTTTTTCTCTCTTAATCTAGCTAGTGGTCTTTGATCTTGTGTATCATTTGATGTTGTCAGCTCCCCCGCCCCCCACACTTTTTTTTAAGACAGGATCTCACTTTGTCACTCAGTCTAGGGTGGAGAGCAAGTACGAACTAGGCTCACTGCAGCTTTGACCTCCTGAGCTGAAGCAATCCTCCAGCCTCAGCCCTGACAATTAGCTGGGACTACGGGTGTGTACCACCATGCCCAGCCAATTTTTGTATTTTTTGTAAAGATGGGGTTTTGCTGTGTTGCACAGGCTGATCTCAAATTCGTGAGCTCAAGTGATTCGCTCACTTTGACTTCTCGAAGTGCTGAGATTTGAGGGCTGAGCCACCTTGCCTGGCCTTGTTGATTCCTTTAATGGATTTGGGGTCTCAATTTCATTCCCTTCTGCTCTAGTTTCAGTTATTTCTTTTTTCCTGTTAGCTTTGGAGTTTGTTTGTTCTTGTTTTTCTAGTTCCTGTAGGTGTGACGTTACATTGTTAATTTGAGATCTTTGTAACTTCTTGATGTAGTCATTTAGTGCTATAAACCTTAACAGTTTTTGCAGCATCCCAGGGATTTTGATGTTGTATCACTGTGTTCATTTATCTCAAACAATTTTTTGATTTCTACCTTAATTTTGTTTACACAAAAATCATTCAAGTGCAAGCTGTTTAATTTTCATGTAATTGTGTGGTTTTGAGAGATCTTCTTGGTATTGATTTCTACTTCTATTACACTGTGATCTGAGAGTATGGTTGGTATGATTTTGAGTTTTTTTAATTTATCAAGACTTGCATTATGGCCAAGCCTGTGGTTGGTCTTAGAGTATGTTTCACATGCAGATGAGAAGAGTTTCACATGCAGATTAGAGTAGAGTTTCACATGCAGATGAGAAGAATGTATATTCTGTGGTTGATGAATGGACTGTTCTGTAGACGTCTATTAGGTCTAATTGGTCAAGTGTCAAATTTAAGTTCAGAATTTGTTTGTTTTCTCCCTGATGATCTGTCTAGCTCTATTGGTGGAGTGTTGAAATCCCCTGCTATTATTGTGTGGCTGTCTAATTCATCTTGTAGGTCCAGAATTATTTTTTTATGAATCTGCAGTACTTCGTTGTTGGGTGCATGTATATATATTTAGAATAATCAGGTATTCTTGTTGAATTGAACTCTTTATCATTATGTAATGCTCTTCTTTGTCCTATTTGATTATTGTTGGTTTAAAGTCTGTTTTTTCTGATATCAGAATAGTGACCCCTGCTCTTTTTTGTTTTGCTTATGTGTAATAGGTCTTTCCCCAACCCTTTTCTTTGAACCTATCATTATCATTACATGTGAGATGGGTCTCTTAAAGACAGAAGATGGATGGGTCTTGTTTTTTGAGTTTTTTGTTTGTTTGTTTGTTTGTTTGAGACAGGATCTCGTTCTGTCACCCAGGCTGGAGTGCAGTGGTATGATCATAGCTCACTGTAGCCTTAACCTCCTGGGCCTAAGCAGTCCTCCCACCTCAGCCTTTCAAGTAGCTGGGACCACAGACATGTGCCATCATGCCCAGCTAATTTTCTCATTTTTAATTTTTTTGTGGAGACAGGTGTCCTTATATATTGCCTAGGCTGGTTTTGAACTCCTGGTCTCAAGTGATCCTTCTACCTCAGTCTTCCAAATTGCTGAGATTATAGGCATGAGCCACTATGCTTGGCCAAATCTTGTTTTTTGAATCCATTTTGCCATTTTGTGTCTTCTAAGTAGGGTATAAGACCTTTTATATTCAAGGCTAATATTGGTATGTGAGGTTATAATCCTATTTTGAAGTCATTAACTGGTTTCTTTGTAGTCTCAATTGTGTAGTCGCTTTATAGGGTCTGTGGGCTATGTAATTAAATGTGTTTTTGTAGTAGCAGGTGTTCTTTTGTTTCCATCTTTAGAACTCCCTTAAGGATCTCTTGTAAGGCTGGTCTAGTGGTAATGAATTCCCTTAGGAATTACTTGTCTGGAAAAGATTTTATTTCTCCTTCACTTATAAAGCTTAGTTTGGTAGGATATGAAATTCTTGGTTGGAAATCTTTTTCTTTAAGAATGGTAAAAATAAGCCTCCAGTCTCTTTTGGCTTATAATGTTTCTCCTGAGAAGTCCACTATTAGCATGACAGGGTTCTCATTGTATGTGATCTGACTCTTCTCTAGCCTCCTTTAAGATTTTTGATGCTCTACACATTCGGAGAAAGCTCTCTAGGAATGAACTATAAAAATAATCCCTGAAAATACAGTCTTCTGATACTTATTCTGTTCTGTAATTTCATTAAAATGACCTCTACAAGGTAGGTGTCGCGATGTCTCACTTCTTATATGAAAAGATAATAATTAATAATTGACTAACTGGCATCCAAATAATTGTTTCTGAAATACAGAATAATTAGTTTTTATGATAACTATCTTCTAGCTTTTTTCTTCCATCTTTCTCTGAGGAAGTTTCAGTACACTGGAGGAGTTATTTAATATCCATTATGCTGTTTTCACTCTTTGCTGTTCAAAACTGTTTATATACACTTGAATTTATCTTCAGTTATCAACTCAAAGTATGTATCAGCTAAGATGAGTCAAGGGGAAGCTGTGAGTGGGAGCAGTGGTATGGTACATTGGGTGTAGTGATCTTCTGGAGTTTGGATCATTGAGTAAATCTGTACATGCTGTAGCATAGATACTGTAGCTCTGCCAACTCAGAGTTATTTGGCCTGTATTAGCTTGTTTTCTCTGTGTTAATTCTTATTTATGTCCTGTCCTAATTGCCTTGATAACACTAATGTCCTTTTTTCAAAGTATGTTATGTCTCTGTATAAATCGACATGTTTTCCTAGTGCATTTTACATATTGTATATTATATACAATACTATATACTATATATATAAATATATATTATATGTTATACTCTGATATGAATGATTTTGTAAATATTCTTATTCATAGCTTTGTGCATTTTTTTCTCTTCTATACCTAAAAAGCTTTGTGTATTTTGTACAAGTTCAGCAGTATGCATTTTTATAAGTAGAAGTGGTATAAAGATAATATGCATTTATATTTGTGTTAGGTTTTGTCAGATTGCCCTCCAAGAAGATTGTTTCAATTTCTGTTTTTTCCAATGGTGTATGAAAATGCCTGTGTTCTCACACTCTTTTCAATAGCAGACATTATTATTCTCTTATAATCTTTACCATGACATTTTTGCATCTTGTGACACTTGTCTCTGTAGCATTTGATGCTTTTGACCATAACTACCTTGAAAGTCTTTTTCCTGTTGGCTTTCACCCCTCTGGTATTTTTACACTGGTGATTATTTTATTGTCCCTGAATGAAAGCTGAGGGAATTGAGTTAAATATAGCCCTGAATGTTCAATTTATCTTCTAAAGACAATTCTACAATGAGTCAGAGTGCCATAGTCCAGGTGTGAGCCTTTTTTGGGGCTTGGCTTAATGCATGGATAAAGCTTAGCAATTTTGAAGTATAAATGAAAGACTTCCTAGCCTATTCCTATTAACTTCTTCACTTGACCATTGATTGTTTAAGCCAGTAATTTTCAAACTTTTTTAGTAATAGAGAAAATTTTTTCAAACCAACAGAGTCCTTCAGCGGATGCAGTTTGAAAATCACTTGTGTTAATCCTTTTTTTTTTTTTTGAAAAATGACACTTATATTCTGAACAAAAAATATGCAGTTGAAGTCATATTGATTGATTAGTAAGTTGAATCATCTTAGATGGTTATTTGTTGACATTAAACAAAGTGGTTGGATAGTAGTAATGGTTGACCTAATGGAGGACAGAAGTTCATTTATGGTTCATACGTTATGAATTCCATTTGTGTCACTAATATGAGTATTTTTCTTCACTTCACACTTACCAGTTTTTAGTGATAGATGTCTAGCGATCATGTAGAATTGTTTCTTTCAGTATTTTCTTCTTTTTAAGCTTCTAAAATTACCTCAAATGTCAACTAGGTCAGAAGATGGGCTTCAGTATGAAAATAAAACATGTAGGAAACTTCCAAAGACACGATGTGGGTATAAAAGTATTTAAAAGTTACATTATACTTTTGGCACACTGAAAGGGACTTGAACGTACATGGAATGTAACTGTATTCTACTACCTTGATTTCAGACTTCAATATCCAGTTCCCATGCACCCTTCTCAGCTGTGCAGTGCTTTACCTTTATTGTCTTATGAACAGTTTATGCCTGTCTGACCTTTGTGAGTTAACGCAGATCATTCCTCATAACAGAATACTCTTTTGACTTGGTTTACAAATTCTTCCCTGCCTCCCTCCCTCCCTCCTTCCCTCTCTCCCTCCCTCCCTCCCTCCCTTCCTTCCTCTGTCTTTTTCTCTCTCTCTCTCTTCTTTCTTTTCTTTTCTTTCTTTCGATGCAATCTTGCTATGTTGCCCAGGCTAGTACTGGACTCCTGGGTTCAAGTGATACTCTCACCCTCAGCCTCCTGAGTAGCTGGGACTTGAGACTACAGGCACACCAATACCCCCAGCTCTGTTTTCCTCAAGTCTTAGCTTTTTAATGAAACTTTTCACATTTACTGCAGCTCTTAATCATTTTCTAAATCCCTTTTTATAATTTTTATATATCTTATACAACATAACAAACTATCTTATTTCTTATGACCTAAATGTTTTCTTCCTAGGTTCATTGGAAATTTATTTTACTTTACTTGCAAGTATTTACTGTGCTGGGCACACGAGAGGTGCTTGATGAATTGATTACATTAAGCACACTAAATGGAAGAAATTTAAATAAAGCGATATTTGCTGTTTGGGTGAAGATTTCATGGGTGATTTTTTTTTCGTTTTTTCTAAATTTTCTATAATTCTCCTGTACTATCATAAACATTTACAATCTATAGGTAGCCATTAGATATTTTCCAATTTATGTCTTAAACTTATTATTGTAGTAAGATTGGATTCAAATATATATTATTCAGATTATGCCTTAATATGTATTACATGTTAAATTTAAATCTCTTTTTTAATAGGAGGAAAGGACAGACGGAGTGGCCTCATTTTGACAATTCCATTATGCCTCGAACAGACAAATATGGATGAGCTGAGTGTCACCTTAGACTACCTACTCAGCATTCCAAGGTGACTCTAAAGGTGTCTTTTCTTAAATCTCAGTATGTTTTCTTTCAGTTACTAATGATTCTTTCTATTGTTGAAGTATACTTTGCTATCTTATTTGTTTTTATTCGCAGTGAAATTATAATTATAGATACTAAAATCAATGACTTATAACATCATTGCAGATAAAATGCTCATTTTATGCTCTTGATGAATTTAATGATTTACAGATTTCCAAAATGTATGTATTGTCAACTTTTAAGGAACACTGTAACTAAGCATCTATATCATGTAACTTTAGAAAAATTGGAGAATTTAATCAGTAGAAAAGATCTTTTATTTAGGTAAGCTATTTCACCATATTGATATAAATACGTGTGCAGGTTTTAATGTACTGAGTGAGTGAAGGCTGTTAGGAGTTTATAAATATTTTTATTTTTAAAAATGTCAAAAATGTTTGTTTATATTTCAATGTAAAGGGCCTTTAACTTTAGTTTTCACATTTGTTCAGTGAAGACCCAACTTAAACCTCTTTATTTGCCCTAGTCTACCCATCACTTCAACAACAAAAATAAAGCTTCCTCCCCATCTGCTTCTCCCATAATTGGGACTGGGGCACAACTGTGACTGCATATTAGTCATCTGGAGTTTTTTTTCAAAATTCTAATGATCAGGGGTTCACTTCCAGAGATTCTGATCCAATTGTTCTTGGGAAGCCTGCTTATCAGAATTTTTAGAAAGTCTTTTAAGCTTCTTGTATATTTCTAATGTGCAACCAGGTTTGTAAACCACTACAATTAAGCATGTAAATGAGGGCAGGTTTCTGTGTGTGTGTGTGTGTATACAATGTAGAGGTAGAAAAAGGAACACGACTATTTCATATACTGCTCTTAAGTTCTGGCTAGTGAATTTTAAAACATTTTCGTCAGAGTAAACAATTCTTTGTATGTTTTTCCTGTATTTGCATTTTATTGATACAATAGCTTTTTTCCGTTTAAACCACCTTGCAGAGTATGGAGTTAAAACAACTCATTTTAATCGCACCTGCGTCCAGTAGTGTTCTGTAATTTAATGATTCTGTTGCTGTTTGTTTTTTTAATATTGTGGAAATAGAGCTCTTCATGTGAAAATTTTCAATATTTTCAGTTTCTGGGGGTGAAAATGATGAGAATCTGTAGTCAGTGTATTAGTATTAGCATTAGCTAATTGCATTAGCAGTAATCTTGCTAATCCCCCAAACTGTGGATTGCTAACTTGTTCACCATTAGATAACAAACTGCTTTTTAGGTAACCATGGTTAGCCAGACTTACAGCTTACAAGTTATGAAAAAAAATTCATAGATGGATTAATAGAAGGTTAAATATGTCAAGTGCCATCTGAACAACTACCTTATTTTGTAGTTGAGGAAATTGAAATTCAGAGGTTATGGTTACTTGCCCAAAATCTCAAACCTAGTGAGTCGCACAGCTGGGATGAGTGTCCACAATTCCTGACACCAATTTAGAGCCTTTTTGTACTTCAAATGAATAGAGTTCAGTGTAGTTGCATCTCACGTGAAGTCCAGTGGGTTCAGATGAAAAGCAAAAACTACTAATTGTCAAAGTTACTTTTGAAAAATGCCTGAGGGTGGATCAGAGACTGTATTACCTTTCCATGAACATGTTAGGTTTTCCTTCAGCATTGGAGCAAGTTATTCATACTGAATTCCAGAAGATATAGTTGTCTTGTGATTAGGTTTGTTTTAAGAAAATGCATGTTTGTATATACTGGGATCATATTCAGTTCAACAGGATGCTTACCCTGTCAGAGGCACTGGGTAACTGAGGGAGGCTAAAGGCCCAGCATATTCATTCGCATCTCCTGACTCATGTTCACTCTGGTGTGGATAAGCAGGAAGTACAGCCTATACTATTTAAATTTTCTCTTTCTTTTTCTCATGTAAATGTACGTATGATGTTCCTCCAGTGTAAATGATGAATCAGTTTCTGCATATCTACACTTACCTGCCAACTAGCAGAGAAGGTGTAAGTTGAAGCAAGATGAAAGAACTTATTCTAGCAAGGCAAAATAGATACATGGATACTTTATTTCTTATGATTGTTTTGCTAAAATTTGACCTTCTCAAGTATTCATGAAAACTCTGTCCTGCTTTCTTGGATCAGTCTCCCATAATTTTGGGATTAACAAAGTGGCTGTCAGCTTTTTATCCGTACTTGCCATTTCCTTAGAGAGCTAAGGTGTTTTTGATCTCTCCATTGTGATGCTAGAGAGCAGTTAACTAGATGTGTGATCTTAAAACCAATGTTTTTCATTCAAAATTTCCACTGCTCAGAAGTGCTTTTAAAATGTAACCCCCCAACATTTTATTAAAATGTTTATATATGCAAAAAAGTTGAAGGAATTATATGGTGACACCCATATGTCCACCACTTAGAAAATCTAAAACTAACATTGTGTGTAGTTTTATCACATTATCACCCATGTTTCAGCCCTCTTTTTGTCCTAGGAATGTTTTTAAGTTTACCCTACCAGATCAGGCCCCGGATGTGTCTAGAAAAGTTTTTTCATTTCTAGTATATCTACATTCTTTTGTGACCTGCTTTTGTCTCCCAGCTTCCAACTGTTAATGTTTAACTCCTTCCAGCTGTGAACATCTGCAGACATCTCCAACATTGTAGCTAGCTAAGGTGGCCTCTTCCTAATAGGAGATGTCCAAAATTGGTTTGTTTTTTTTTTTGTGCAGTGACTATCTTAACGTTTTGAATACAATAATAGCTTTTCAAAATTTTTGTGAAAATGAAAAGAAATTACCCCATTTCTTATAGTTTGTGCTTAATTTTAATGATCACAGGGACAAAGTGTGATATATAGCTATTTTAAATGGCTAACCTAGCACAGTTGAGAATGGAAGCATTTCTTGACTCTTTTGTACACAGGTTGGCCCTGAGTTTGTTTTCTGTTTCAGATACTAAGTGTACAGTATTTTGGATATTCATGAGTGCTATGAAAACAAAGCATGAAAAGAGTCAGAGTGATAGAGTGGTGATACTTTACAAAATAAGATGATATTTTGCCAGAGATGATTGAAAGGAAGGGCAGACCCTACAGAATCTGATCAACGAACATCGAAGACAGAGTGAGCAGTAAGTGCAAAGGCCCTGAGGCAGGAGCAGGTTTAACATGTTCTGGGAAGATCAAGGAGGCTAGTGTGGCTGGAACAGTTTGAGAGAGGAGCACAGTGCTGGGAGGGGGATCAGAAGAGAGTCAGGAGTCAGGTCGTGGAAGACCATGTAGGCCATGGCTTCCGTTCTCAATGAGATGGAAAGCTATTGTCGTATCTGAGGAGTGATGTGATGTGTGTCATCTAACATTATTAAAGGCCTTCTGTATTTAAAGCACAGTGCTAGAAGCTGCCAAGACATTTGTAAGGTAACATTCTTGCTTTCTGGAAGCATATTATCTAATGAAGATGAATTGTAAACAAGTAATTATAATAAAAGCATAAGTGAAATTAGTGCCATTATGTAAATACTAGCAGAGCTGTGTGAGTGGAAGAGAAGGAGCGTGTAGTTGTAATCAAAGAAATGAGTGAAGATCTGCAGGATATTGGACCCAGGAAATCCACTAACAGTGTCTTCTGTGTCAAAAGTGAGTGGACTGTTTAGACAACCTCACCTTTACATAGCGGTTTTAACTCAGCTATGTCACTCTTGAAAGGTTTAACTGGGCTAGGAACTAGGAGGCGGGGTCTTAGATTTTTTTTTCTATTACTGTTAAAGTATAGTTATAAACATGGTAACAGGGGCTATAGGAATTTGTTATTAATAGCACTTCAGGTCCTACAACAGGCCCTTTATAAAGGGTATAGCATGCTTCTAAATTAAATATGTCGTTAGAAGCAGTTTAAGCCATCATACCACTTACAAGGATGAAGTAAAAAACAAAACTATTTCCTTTCAAGTACCTGAAAGACCACTTGGTCTGGCAATTTTGAAATAGTAATATCTTTGGATTTTGTGTATTTTCATTATCTATCTTAGTAAAATGTGAGAATATGAGAGGGTTAAGTGTGTTTCTTAGTACTCTGAAAGATAAATTTAGAGTATTTTATTCCTTTAAGATCACTACAGATGGTATTTTCAAGCTTCATTACTTTCTTAGTCTTAATGTACAGATTAATTTATAGTGTGCTTTGAAATGTAAATGTATTGCTTATATAAAATGTATTTAACAAAATGGTTGTGTAACCTACATCTCAGGACTATAGATGCCAATGTTGAGAAAGTACCACATTATGAGAATGGCACGTTTCTCTTGGTGGGAAGGCCCTCTTCTGGACAGCTGTGTCTTAGCTCTCCTTCCTGCAAAAGGCATTGGTAGAATCCCTGCATTGTTGCCACTACTCCAGACCACTCAACAACCAGCTACCCTGCCTAGCTGATCACTGTTGGGCTTGTATCCTCTTCTATATCATGGTGGTCTTCTTAGATGTCTTGTTGGTGGAGAACCCCAGGAATCCCCTCATTACTTGAGCCCACAGATAGTCATTATGTGTCAGGTTTGCTTCTCTCCACAAGTCTTTTACTTTTTTGAAATAGAGATGGAGTCTTGCTGGTCTCACATGCTGGCCTCGAACTCCTTGGCTCAAGCCATCCTCTTGCCCTCGTCTCCCAAAGTGCTAGGGTTAGAGACGTGAGGCACCACACCTAGCCCCCTCTGCAAGTCTTTTATTTTCTTTTGCTAACCCACAAGTGATGACTGTATTGGCCTTACCTTTAGTTTTTCCCAAAGAATATTTAGTGGGTCCTTTATCTTGTGATGCAAATCCAAAAATAGAGTACTTTTGTTTTATTGAGATATAGTTCAGATGTCATAAAAATCATCTTTTTAAAGTAGGCAATTCAGTGATATTTAGTGTATTCACAGGTTATGCATCCGTTATGCTATCTAGTTTCAGAACATTTTTATCAGCCCAAAATAAACCTTGTTCCCATCGGCAGTCACTCTCCATTCTTCCCTCCTAACCCTTGTCAACCACTAATCTGCTTTCTGTCTCTGGCTTTGCCTATTCTGGACATTTCATATAAATGGAATCATTCAATGTGTGTCCTTTTGTGTCTGGCATCTTTTACTTAGCATAATGTTTTCAAGGTTTAGCCATGTTGTAGCATCTGTCAGTACTTCATCTTTTTTTATGGCTGAATGTCTCATTGTTTGGTTATACTGTGTTTTGTGTTTCTGTTCATCAGTTGATGGACATTTGAATTGTTTCTGCTCTTCAGCTATTATGAATTATTCTGCTATGAATATTTACATGCAGGTTTTTGTGTGAACATATGCATCAGTTTGCCTTACCTTTTGAATACTCTTTTGTTTACTTTGGAAGCTCAGCTTCTGTCCTTGCCTGTTCCCACTCTAAACTTTTAGCAATATCATCCTCATTCCTTGTAGTCTTACTGTTTCTCGGTAGAACAGAACATGACTTCTACAAGAACCTTCTTGGAACTAGTGTGCATGCTTGGAGGGAGAAGAGGAGGACTAGTAAAGTCCCCTGAACTGTTGGTGGATTTAAATCCCAGGAAAAGGTCTCTTTATTTTTTCCTATAATGTATGTAATTTGGAACAGTTTGTATGGGGACAGGTTTCACTACCAAAATCTTGCTCTGATAAGCAAAGCTGTAGTTCCATTTACTGTATTGGAAGGAGTGCAGTTGAGATCTTTACATTAAGTTGATAAGTAAACATAATAATAATAATAATGATAATGATAGGTATGTAGTTTTGGCCTTTAGAATGGAGTTTTTCCCTCCAGAAGTTGCGTTTTACTAGGTTAGACTTCTGGGAAGTGTTTAGTTAATACTTTAAATCACTCAATATAATACAGAAATCCAACACTGAAGATAATATTTTGTTGGTCAAGTGACTGAGAATGCAAAGTGAGAGCGGAAGTGGGTTAGACATGGTCTATTCAAGCTTTTGAATCAGCAGGTTCTACCTCATCTCATTAAATTTCTCCAAAAGAACGCTAAGAAGCCGATTTTTGTGATTTATTAATAACTATTTTCTATCTGTTTTGAACTGTCACTTCACAAATCTTATACTTCTGGCAGGAAGGTGAGACAAGAAATATATAACACATTTGGCAATTAGTGACTTACTTCACTGTGATCCCTTTTTACTGATGAAGAAATTGAGAGACTAGTAGTACTGTTTGAATGTTGCTTTGATTTCTTTACTTTTTAAGACATTGACTTTTATGCTTTTAGAATAATTTTCTTGCCACATTAGTTTGTAAATTGTGAACATTTCCTAAAATGAGAAAAATAAATTGCTTGAGAAAATGAAAGGATACTCTGAAGAATTTTATTTATTGACAATGTAAACTAAACCAAGTGAGATTAATTCTACTGCATATGCAGTTAAGTTTTAAACCTTCTTTATTTAGAATTATGAAGAACGAATTCTGGAGCTTGTTTTAATGCTGTGTAATTTTGTTTTGTTTCAGTGAGAAGTGTAAGGCTAGAGGATTTACCGTGATTGTGGATGGCAGAAAATCACAGTGGAATGTGGTGAAAACAGTAGTCGTAATGCTACAGGTAATTTTGGTTTTGTCTATCAGGAAATGGTTTTTATTTTACAGCAACAGATCCTGGTGAAAATGGCAAATGCACTTAATTTATTGGACTGTGCCTGGCGTCCTAGCAGTGACTGAGTTCTGAAAATGCACTGATCACTATTGGATTGTTCAAATTCAACTTCTTAGGTTTGAATTTAGGCAGTTAAGTAAATCTCTTCTAATAGGTTTGTAAATGAAAATAATATGTCATGTTTAAGTAATTTAAGAAAGGAGGCCAGTGATTTTAAAAGTGTGAGCGTTGAAATTATGAGACTCATGTGGGAGCTTTTGCATGCTCTGGTGTCTGTCATTCTCCCTCTTGCACCCCATTCTGAAACTACAGGTAGGTGGTAGGATTTTTGGTTAAGTGTAGTTCAGAGAAACTTCTCAGGTGATTCTGGCTTGTCTTTCTCTTCTAGTCCCCTATTTCCTACATAAAGCATCAGGATTCACGATGATCTTATTATTTGTTTATAGTCCAGAAGAAACTTACTTAACATCTGTGTCCTCAGGAATTTCAGCCCCTCACAAATTAACATTTAATAAACATCTACGATTACAAACTTTTTGAGATCTGATGCCAGTCTTGTGTTTTATATTTCCTCATGTTCCACACAGAATGTTTCTGTGACCCCTGGCATGTAGTAGGCACCCAGTAGACATTTGTTGATTTATTTTAAGGGTATTGAAGATGTGATTTGAAAAGGAAAAATAAAACATTTGAGTGATGCGGAGGGCAGATTGCTCTCATGCACTTGGCCTTCTGTAGGGCTTCTAGAGAGGTAAAATTTGAATTATCCAATTTAAATGAAAGTAAAGAGGGCCTTCCTCACAGGTACTCTGAGTTACATATAGCTCATAAATGAAGCAAGTACAATGAGAGTAGTTGATGGCAGGCCAGTCTGGGAGAAACAAAAGTTGGTAGTAACGTGGAATCATGAACATTCACTTAAGTGGACATCAGTAATATTGAAAGAAAGATCAAGAATTTTAAATGAATTCAACAAATAATTTGGTAGCTACTTTAGGATTCTGTGGAAAGGCATATAATTTTAAAATTTAAATAACTAAGGAGAATGGTTTTTAACGTTTTATCATTTATTTAGGTTAATTGGGAAAAAGGGATTCAAGGGATAGGAACAAAGTGGTAATTTTAGGTTTTAGTTCTAGTTTTAGTGCTTATTATGTTTCTGGTACTGTGCAAAGCTTGCTATATAAATTATCTCATTTAATGTTGGCCTCACAACCTTACAGAGAAGGTCAACGAGGCTCAAGGATTTTAAATAACTTAAAATCGGAACTTAGTACAGACTAAGTAAGCCCCAGGCCTTGACTTTATCCATTTTAAAATGTGTATTTACCAGTGGCCTGTATTTGAGGCGGGGGTGTCTGAATTTTCTACCCATTGCCTCATTCTTCTTAAATGTTTGGCTTAAACTTTTCATCATTAGAATTCCCCCACCCCAACTTTTTTTTTTTTTTCAGTCAGGGACTCACTTTGTCACTCAGCCTGGAGTGTAGTTGCATGGCTTACTGCAGCCTCCAGCTCCTGGGCTCAGGCAGTCCTCCTGCCTCAGCACCCTGAGGAGTTGGGAGTGTGGAGGCGAGTGCCACCACACCTGGCTACTTCTTTTTATTTTGTAGAGACTATATTGTTCCAGTTGGTCTCAAACTCCTGAGCTCAGGTGATCCTTCTGCTTCAGCCCCTCAAATCACTGGGATTACAAGCTAGAATCACTCTTTGGGTTAGAAAGGACATAGCCTCTGGAGGATCAGTTTTTAAGGGAGCACAAATTGGTGTCCTAAAATAACTTTTATTTTGAAAAAAAAAAAGTGCTTCCAGCACTTTTATATTTCAAACTTTGAGAATTAACTCTTCTCTGTGAAAGTTGTTAAAATAACTCTTAGGTAAGAAATCCATTAATTATGACCTTGTGTTCTTCCTTTCATCCTGTCATTCAACTGTGTCACAGATGAGCTGTTTGGGACTTGCTGTTTGAACTGGACTTTGATCAATGGCAGTTTTGAAGAACAATCAATGGATGATTTAATCCCCTCTTGCGATTTCTTTTCTGATAGGTATTTTAACAACTTTTGGATTTATTAATAGTTAACATTTTCAGAAGTTGCAATGGCCTCTTTACTTCTAGTCATACAGTTTCTACATATGAAGTCATTCATTGCTTTCATCTCAGAAGGTACTGGGACCAGTTGTTTGGGACCCCACAGTGCCTATAACTAGTATTCTCTAAAATGAGGGGCTTGGTTTCTCTTGTTTCTCACAGCTTTCATATTCAATGATTTTGAAATAATAATGTTCCACAAGGCAATATATGAATAAAGCTCAATTTTATCTTAAATTTTCCAGCCCCTCTGATAAAAGTTTTGATACCATTGAATTTATTTTACTTACTTTAGTTCCAATCCAGTTGTTGCAGAGGATGCTAGATTTATGATGTGTGCATGTTTATCTCTAAAGGTTTTCCATTTTTCCCTGAATAGTAATAATAGTAATTATTATTATAATTATTCAGTGCTGCAATTTATGGTCTAGAACAGAGATTGGGCCCTTGATTTTATAAAGTTTTATTGGAGCTCAGCCATGCCCATTCATTTATATATTGTGTGTGGCTGCTTTCATACTGTCCTGACAGAACTGAGTAGTGGCAGTAGAGACATTATGGCCTGCAAAGCTTAAAATACTTATTATCTGGACCTTTGGAAAGAATATATTGACCCCAAGTTCAGAGCATATGAAATAGTGTAGTAGAACATTAGAGTCAGACAGAGGTGGTTTCTATTCAGCCTAGTGACTTTTTAACTCTTTATCTTAGACAAGTAACTTTATTTCTCTGAAGCTCAAATTACTCTCCTGTAAAATTAAGAGAATGAGATCCACTTGTTAATGTGGTTTCATTTATTTAACAAATATTTATAGCATGTGTTCTATTATATATGTCAGACATTTGTCATAAACACTGGAAACATAGGGATGACAGCATAGATAAGGTACCTGCCATTGGGAAGCTTATATTCTACTTGAAGAGTTAGACAATAAGCAGTTAAGCAAATGTAACAGCCCATGGTGATAAATACTGTGAAGAAAAATACAGTAGTAAAAGAGACTGAGTCAGATGATGCCACTTTAGATAGGGTAGACAGGGAAGGCCTCTCTGAAGAGGGAATATTTGAATAGAATCTTAAATAAACTGAGGGAACACTACTAGGTATAAGGCAAAGGACATTCCAGATAGAGGAAATAGCATGGACAAAGACCTGAAGTGGAACAGACTTCATATTGCAGGAGCAGCGAGGTTAGCATGGCTGTTGTGGAGGAGTGAGCTAGGAGGGGAAGGTGTAAGATGAGATCTGAGAGGCCAACATGGGCCTGAGCTTGAAGGGCCTTGTAGGTCTTGGTAAGAGGTTTGAATTTCATTCAGAGTGCAAGAGAAAGTCAAGCAAGGAGCCTTGTAATGATGATATTTCAGAAAGCTGGATAGTTTGAAGTTGTTAACAATGCAGGCTGTAGAACTTGTTGGATTTAAGATACATTTTAAAGTTAGACTCTATAGGACTTGATAAAATATATGTGAGATATTTATTAATTCAATAAGTGTTCATTTCAATTCATTAGGTAGTATAAGTAACCGTATCAAGTAAATGTGAAATGGTATTTGTCAAAGATTAGCTTTTTGTCCTCCTCTTCAAGTTAATAATCATATAAAATCTTGGCCTCATTGTATAATGACTGATAAAAAACTTGTTTTAGTGAGAAAATTGATTTTACGTCTTTTGAAGAAATTCTCCAAGATGGATTGTGTTAGAAAAAATTTTTCATATTGTAGAAAAATCAAATTTAATAATTTCTCAACTAAAAATTAACTCTTACAGTTTAATCTAAACATATTCCTAGTACAGAGATTCAATAAAACAAAAAGTGATTCACATGTACAATTTATGCTGCATTGTTTATTTGAAGTATTTTCTGAATCAGCTTCTTTTTCAAGTTCTTCTTTATTGCCATGTATGTTTTAAAGTCTAGAGAATTTCTTCTTTATTATTTTAATTCTCCAAACGTCTCTTATGTAGCTTAATCTTGACTGGTAATTTATAAATTTAGTAAATTATTCATTTTACGTGTGTAATTTGTGATTATTTTTCTGTATTTTATAGAATGTTGTTCCAGCTGAGGTGTCCCTTGTTTGTGTGGTAAAGCCAGATGAATTCTGGGATAAGAAAGTAACACATTTTTGTTTTTGGAAAGAAAAGGATAGACTTGGCTTTGAGGTAAATGTAATCTCTTTTTTTAAAGTCCATTATATCTTTAAAAATAGTATTTTACTGAAATTATTTTTGATGGTTCAGCAGTGGTTACTAAGCAGTGTTTAAGGAATACTTAATTAGTGCCTAAGTAATAATTAGTATACAGTCAGCATTTGGATACTTGCTGAATGAAGTATGATATTTTGGTAAAGATCATGAAAGCGTTCTTGTTTTCCATTTTCAATTATATCATTCTTTGTTAACTTCTTTGAATAAGTAGAACCTTTGTTTTTAAAATTTTTTATTGCATTATGGAGAGGAAATTTAACAAATACTAGGAAGTCCTAGACATTTTGGAGTTGAAATTATAGTCTATTTTCTGTGACATGTCATAATTATTTTTTAGTATCTGGCCAGTTTTAATACATGAACACAGTTATCCATCCTTTCCTACTGACTTTTTCTTTCTCTCTTTCACTTTCCTTGTGTGATAGTGCATCTTATTGGAGGTTAGAAAAAAGCACTAAATCTAAACAGTTTGTCATATTCTTTCTTCCACACCTGTTAATTCTCAGCTGCCAGTAGGAGAGTTGATAAATAACAGGCTTTACATTGTCTAAATAAAGTGTGGAAACTTTGAAGAATACAAAGTCTAACTCCAACCTGGTATAACATAGACTCTTGGAATGCTTACAGTCAGATAATAAAGATTCATTTTGGAACTTGCCATACTATACACTCGTTTTTGTTTTTACCTAGGTCAATATCAGTGTATTTTTGGTATGGAGAAAAGATTGTTAATGTATATTGGATAGAAAGATTTGAGAAAACTTAGTTTATTCTTAAAGGACATGGCTGGAAATTTCTTAAAAATACATGGTTTTATTCTTTACTTAAAAAGTTAAGCTATAATTTACGTGCAGTGAAAGTAATCCATTTTAGTGATAATTCTGAGAGTTCTGACAAAACATGTAAAACCACAATCAAGAAATCAGGAAGTGTCTCATCACCCCCAGAATTCCCCTATATGCTCCTGTAGTTAACTTCTCCATTTCTAGCCCCTGACTGGTGGTAGGAAAACTGTTTCTGTACTCACAAGCCCCTTCTCAGGTTTAGTAATTTGCTGTATTGATTCATAGAATTCAGGGAATCACTAACATTTGCTGGCTTTATATAAAGGTTACAGATGAACAGCCCAGATGAAGTGATATACAAAGTGTGAGGTCTAAAATGATCCAGAGCGCAGGAGCTTCTAACCCTAGGGAGTTGGGGTACACCACCCTCCTGGCCCGTGAACATGTTTATCAACCCAGAAACTCTCCAAATCATTGGCCATGGATGATTAACTAACTCAGTCTCCAGCCCCTCTCCCTTCCCTGGAGGGAGAGGAGTGGCCATGAAAGTTTCAACTCTCTAATTATGCCTTGGTCTTTTTGGTGACAAGCCCTCATCTTTAATCTGTTTAGAGGCCCACAGCCACCATTCATCTTATTAACATCCAAAAAAACACTTATCACTCCAGAAATGCCAAGGATCTTAATAACTCTTGTATCAATAACTGGAGACTGAGACCAAATACTGTAATAAAAGATGCTCGTATCACCCAGGAATTACAAGGGTTTCAGGAGTTCTGTGCCGGGAACCGAGGACAAAGAGCAAAGGCATATTTCTTATATCACAGTATGACAGATGGTATCTGTTTAAACCTTTTACCCGTTTTTTAAAAAAAAAAAATGTCTTTTTTGTTACTGGATTTTGAGAGTTTTTTATGTATTTTGTATAGAAGTCATTTATCAGACACATAATTTACTAATATTATATCCTAGTCTATTGTTTGCCTTGTCATTCTCTTAACATTTTTCAAGAAATTTTTTTAACTGTGATGAAGTCCACTTTTTCAGTTTTTTTTTCCTTCTGATTTCACAGTTGGAGAAACGGTTTTCTTTTATGAATCAGACTTTTGTTGTCATAATCTGAGAAATCTTTGCCTTACTCAGGGTCACAAAGATTGTCCTTGATATTTTCTTCTAAAAGTTGTATAGTTTTAGGCATTAAATTTAGATCTGTGATCTATTTTGAGTTCATGTTTGTGAGCTATGGTCAAGAATATGTATTTTATGACTTCAGGTTTTTTTCATTTTTTTTTTTTTTTTTGAGACGGAGTTTTGCTCTTGTTGCCCAGGCTGGAGTGCAGTGGTGCGACCCCAGCCCACTGCAACCTGCGCCTCCCAGGTTCAAGAGATTCTCCTGCCTCAGCCTCCCAAGTAGCTGGGATTACCGGCATGCACCACCATCCATGCCTGGCTAATTTTTTGTATTTTTAGTAGAGATGGGGTTTCTCCATGTTAGTCACACTGGTCTCAAACACCCAACCTCAGGTGATCTGCCCGTCTCGGCCTTCCAAAAGTGCTGGGATAACAGGCATGAGGCACCGCACCCAACTGACTTCAGTAATTTTAAGTTTGTTAAGGTTTGGTTTGTGACACACTGTATGTTCTATCTTGATGAGTTCCCAGAATAAGTATTCTGTTGTTGGATGGAGTGTTCTGTAACTGTCAAGATGATTCATAGTGTTATTCAGGTCTTCTCTATCCATGGTAATATTGTGTCTACCTGTTCTTTTAATAACTGAAAGAGGAATATTGCAACCTCCAACTGTTACATCTGGGATTATTTCTATTTTATTTCTGTCAGTTTTTGCTTCATGTATTTTGAAGCTCTATTGTTTATTGCATAAAGATTTAAGATAGCTGTGTCTTCTTGGTGAGTAGGGCCCAATTTATCATTTTTGAATGTTCTTTTTTATTCCTGATACTATATCTGGCTCTGAAGTGTACATTGTCTGATATTAATATAACTACTCCAGCATTCTGTTGATTAGTGTTCATGTGTTGTATCTTTTCCATTATTTTACTTTTAATTTATTTCTTTATATTTAAAATGAATTTTTTGTAGACACCATGTGGTTGGATCTTGCTTTCATATCCAGTTTGACAATCTCTGTCTTTTCATGGGTATGACTATTTGTATTTAATGCAGTTATTGATACGGTTTATAAAATCTACCATCTTGCGAGATTTTATGGGTTTTTTTTGTTCTTGTCTGTCTTTGGACTGAGTATTTTTTATAATTACATCTTACTCCATTATTGGCTTGTAATTTCTGTCTCTTAATTTTTTAGTGGTTACCTTACTGTTTACTGTATACATCTTTAATAATCAGTCTAACCTTCAAATATTATACCACTTCACATGAAATAGAAGGACCTTAAAACAGTCTATCTCCAATAATTCCATCCCATTGTTGTTACACATTTCACTTTTACTGTGCTATAAACAAACACTACATTGCTACATTGTTTTTTTTTTTTTTTTGCTACAGATAGTCTGTTTTCTTTTACAGCAATTAAAAATTTTAATTTCATATTTACTTTCATTTATGCCATTTCTGACATTCTTCATTTCTTTTTGGAGATTCAACTTTTTGTCTGGTGTCACATTCCTTTAATATATCTTTCAGTGCAGGTCTGTTGGCATTGAATTGTATCATTTTTTGTTTGCCTGAAGAAAATCTTTATTTCTATTTTAGTTTTGAAAATTATTTTCAATGGGTATAGAATTTTGTTTGTGGGTTTTGTTTTTTTTTTCTTTCAGCACTTTAGTCATACAGTTGACCTGTGAACAATGCAGGGGTTAGGACCAGCAACCTCCTGTGCAGTTGAAAATCTGTGTCTAGCTTTTGACTTCCCAAGAACTTAAATACTGATAGCCTACTATTGACCAAAAGCCTTACCAGTAACATGAACAGTCAGTTAACACAAATTTTGTATATGTGTTATACATTGTATTCTTACAATAAAATAAGCTAGACAAAAAATGTTAGGAAAATCATGAGGAAGAGGAAATATATTTACTATTTATTAAGTAGAAGTGGATCATCATAAAGGTCTTCATTCTCATTGTCTTGAGGCTGAGGAGGAAAAGGAAGAGGAGGGGTTGGTCTTGCTGTCTCAGGGGTGGCAGAGGCAGAAGAAAACCCCCTGTAAGTGGACCTGTGCAGTTCAGCCCTGAGTTGTTCAAGGGTCAACTGTATTTAAAAGCGCTTTCTCGCCAGGTGCAGTGGCTCTTGAAATCCCAGCACTTTGGGAGGCTGAGGCGGTGGATCACCTGAGGGTTAGGAGTTCAAGACTAGCCTGACTAATATGGTGAAACCCCATGTCTACTAAAAATACATAAATTAGCCGGACATGGTGGCATGTGCCTGTAGTCCCAGCTGCTCGGGAGGCTGAGACAGGACAGTTGCTTGAACCCAGGAGGCACAAGTTGCAGTGAGCCGAGATCGCGCCACTGCACTCCAGCCTGGGTGACAGAGGAAGACCCTGCCTCAAAAAAAAAAAAAAGTAAAAAGTAAATAAAATTAAAAGTGCTATCTCATTGCCTTTGCCTTCTCATTGTAATGGTCACTGACGAGAAGGCCGCTGTTTTTTGTATCTTTGGTCCTCTGTGTATGTTATTTGCCTTTTTTTCCTTTTAGCCACTTTCAAGATTTTCATTTTGATTTTGGTTTTTGCAGTTGTATTTTGCTGTATCTGTGTGTGTTTTATTTGGTATTTATTCCACTTAGTGTTCTCTGTACTTCTTAGATATCTGGTTTGATGTCTGTCATCAATTTTGGAAAATGTTTATACATTCTTTTCAAATATTTTCTCTGCCCTTTTTCTGTTTCCTCTGGAACTCCAGTTCGATGTATGATACAATATTTGAAATTTTCTCACCATTTTCTTTGGTCTCCTGTTTTGTTTTTATCCCTGCGTCTTTCTCTTTGTGTTTCAGTTTAGGTATTTTTCTTGATCCATTTTCAAGTTCACTGTTTGTTTCCTTGGTTATGTTAAGTTTGTTGGTAAGACCACTGAAAATTACTGTGCTTTTGATTTGTAGCATTTCTATTTGACTCTTCCTTAGAGTTTCTCTTTGCTGAAATTCCTCATCTGTTCTTGCATGTTATTTTTCATTCTCTATGGCATC